TATCATCTATCTATCATCTGTCTGTTTATCTGTCTTTCACTCTCTATCATCTATCTGCATTATAGATCTCCATGTACACACTCTTCTGCCTCCCTACTTCTCTTTCCAAACCTCTACCATCTATCATTAGCTCTCGTCTGCACCTTCCTACAGATTTCTTTCAGTTCCTCTCCTCTGAATCTTTGACATTTATTTCCTCATTCATCCTATAAATCTGAATAACTTTGAAACACAGCCTAGTAAGTCAATTTGGAGAGAACGAAAACACATAGGGAGTGGTGTTCTGCTCCTTAACCAAGGGCCATGGTGTTCTGCGATGAATAATGGGTCAACCACATGAAAACAAGAAGTGTCTGTATGCGCCACTTGTGCCAAGGCCTCAGTACCCATGGGGATCTAACATGAAACAGCCCAACTCAGGCCTGAAATGCAGGTCAGATGCATGATATGTCTAGTTTTTCTGTTAGACCTCTGATAGAGGTAAATGGAAACAAACATTCTCAACTGCCCCAGATCTCTGAACATCAGGAGAAGGACCTTTCTCTCTGATTCAGTCAGTCTCACCATATTACCGTATTCTGTTTATGTCTCCTTACGACTCCTTTGCACTGCCACAAACCTGGAGTTATGGTCTGTACTTGTGTCTCACTTTTCATTAAAATGCCAGTAAAATACTCACGAAGGCTGCCTCTCTCCATAAGTTTTCCACACTTAACTTTCTCATGACCTCACAGGGCTTTCAAACCTTAGTATATCTAATCTGCACCACAAAGAAGGTGAGGGGCAGGTATGGACACTCACCTGTGATCTTGATGTCCACAGGGTCACTGGGGTCTGAGCACTCATATGGGTGCTTACTGACAGAACCATAGCACATGTAGGTCCCAGCATGGCCAGGTGTCATAGGTCCTATGAGGAGGCTTCCCTGTGAGTGCCCATGATGATGCTTCCCAGCAAGATACACATGGGCCTTTCTTACTCCCTGTTTATGCAGAACCAAAATGAAGGTCTCAAACGGGATCTCTGAGCGACACTGCAGGGTCACATTCTCCCCGGATTTCACCACTGGAGCTGGTAGGGCCGAGAGGGAGGGTTTTCTGTAGAATCCTAAGAACAAAGAGATGGTGAATGTGGGAGTCACCATCCAGTCCTCCACTCCCTGGGACCTGGGGTGACTAAGGCTCACTGATGTATGCCTTCTCTCTCTTTCTTTCTCTCTCTTTCTTTCTCTTTCTTCCTCCTTCCCTCCATTCTCTGTTCTTTTCCATTTCTTTGCCCCCAGTGGCAACACAGTCCTTTCCCATTGGACTTGTCGTGCATATGTGCCTGTTCCATCTGTCTTCCACAGATATCTTTGTCCCATTTAAGATGAGGGACAGCAGGGAACACAGTAGGCTCTGTTTCAGGCTCTTTATGAGTCCGTTTCATGGTACTTTGGGCAAAGTGAAATCTCTGGCAGGATATGCGAATAAGACAGGTGACCAGGGAACCCCCAGTGCCTGGAACTTCTCCGTGGTGAAAATTTCCATAGAGAAGCTCTACAACCTAATCAGGAGCACTGACCCCTACCAGCTTGGTGGGGACAGCAGCATCCTAACCTTATTGCTCTCTGGGCATCACTTCCTTGTTCTTCCCTGGTTTATTAATGTGCCCTTGATGTGGATTCTCATATTAGCTTACAAATGCTACTATAATAAATTACCACAAGTGTGATGCTTAAACAGAACTGAGGTTTTCTGAAGATCAGAATTCTGAAACAGGTCCCAGTGGTATAAACCAGGTCTCTGCAGGGCTGTGTTCCTTCTGAGGGTCCTAGGGCAGAATCCACTTCTTTTGGTTCTCCAGCTTATAGCAGCCTCCTGTATCCCTTGGTTGTTGGAC